TGTAAAATCATGAACGGCGGCCATTTCAATGGCTGCTTCTGAAGGTCACTGGTCCCTCTCCACCCCCTTTTTTTCCCATCTTATTCTTTGATTGCACAGAGACAACTACTTTCACTGACAACTTGTTTTTACTTCATTTTGAAGCTGTGTTTTAAATGAGGGTAGGCCTTAGCCTGGATTTTGTTGGAAGCAGTAACAGATATGTTGAAAAGGTTGAGACAGGTATGTTGAAAAGCATCAGGCGTTTGTGGATCTCTGAAGAAGGTGATTTAGACCAGCGTACATTAAAAGACGTTCAAGATTATTTTCCTGGTAGCCAAAAACTTTCTCTGAAATGTACACGGGAAATCATATCATATATATGTGAGTCGACAGTGAAGAATATAAGCAAGCCTGATAATAAATTTTGTAAATTTTGAAAAGCGATATAAAACCAATGCTACGTATCTTCAGATTATTACATATAATACAATAACACTCTTCTTTGACTTTATTGTTCTTAATTAAACGTTCTTACATGCATGAGAACCCAACACCCCCACCCTCAGTGTCTGATTTTCTTCTGAAATTAGTTCAGGTTCATTTCAAGATAGGCACTGCTATCTCTAGTCATAATGATGTTCATTGTGAGACTGAGTTGAGGGCTTTGGGATCTAACATTGCATTTTCTTCTTTTGGCTTGTTTAGCTTTCTCTTAAGCTTGATCCCAACTCTGAACTACTTGCTCTTCATCCTTATTATTTCAGAGATCAGTGAAACTCTCTAACACATTTTGTGTAAATTACAGTAATACATTCAACCACAAGTTGGCCATAAAATGATCTTTATGGATAGGCTTTGCAATTGGAAAATATTGCAGTGAAGTGTGAGTAGCCTCCATGTCATGTGAAAAATATATGTGCTTTTCTGAATAGTAAGTGCAAGTTTTCTATAACCAAACTAATCTTTAATTTGGCAAAAGTAGTTTTTAGTAGATAGGATGAGGTTGTTTTTATTTTGAACAGTATGTTATTTGTAGTCCTGTTCTGCTGTAGTACTGAGATATTAATGTATTTTAAATAATGTATTTTTTTTATTTTGATTTTAGGAGAATGACATCTTCCTGGGCTGGGAAAAGGGAGCTTACAAGAAATGGGAAAGGGGCCTCTGATCTAACACTAGAGGAAATGAAAAAACAGGCTGCTGTCCAGTGTCTTCGCTCTGCTTCCGATGAAGTAAGTTTGGACTATTTAATAGATTCTTAAGTCTTTATGTCCTTCTTTGTGTTAGATATATTTAGCTTGTAATGATTATCTCTTAATGTCTGGCTTCTTAAAATGCAAGTTCCCCAGGAGTTCTCTGAGAGTTCTCTATTTTTCTTTAGGAAATTATGAAATCTGTGTATGGCAGCAAGATTTCACAAAAGATTCTGTACTATGTAGTGTCATGTTTTCCTTTTTATAAGTCCTCACCTATTCTTGTCAGGGACAGTTGCAATGCACCAGTTTGTGTTGAAATTACCACAAAGCTTTGTATAAAGATATTTCTTAAAATTCTAAATTTACTTTGTGTTGTGTGTGAGCAGCAAGGAATGGAATATTTGGCCAGAAAGCCATCTTGCTTTGTCCATGCTGCATGTGTAATCCAAAATTGCTAAATAAAATGCAATGTATAGTAGCAAATGTTCACTTTCCAGATTACATCACTGAGTGGAAGTGGAGTTGAAGTGCACTGACTGTAGAAGGTGAGGAGAGGTGATGGCAACAGGTTGAAGGAAGATACCAGAGGCAGCAGATACCATGTAGCTCAATGGAAAAGTGGAGAAAGGGAGAGACGTCGAAGGAAGTATTTAAAAAGAAAACATTATCTGTAGCACAGGTCAATGAAAGCTCTCCAGGGAGATTTTTCAGACAGCAGAAATGAGAAAGTCTATCTTTTAGTTTACAGAACTAGAAATAGTCTGATCTGTCACTACTGTGAGAAGAAACTCTACGCCGGCTGTGCAGCTTGGTTGCATTATTGCTCCATACAGCTTCCTAGTCACAGTTTGTGCTTGCGCAAGCATTTGTGTGGCTGTGTGGAGAACTGGATTGGGAAAGTGAATCAGTTTCCTGAGATTAACCTGGTTGGGGTGGAGGAAGTGTTAACCCAGAGAGGTTTCCTGATCAGATTTGTAGCACGGACACTTGGGCCAGTAAGAGCGGGGAAGTTATGTGGCCAAGGATAGTGAAGGAAGTGGGGTTGACTTGTGTCGTCATTCCCACCATCACCACCTTCAGCAGCATTGCCATCATACTTACTGTTCGTGAAGCTACTTGAGCATTTGTTCAGTTACTAAAGTGCTAATTGATTAATTGGGAGTTTTCTGAACTCCCATTTTCCTGTTACTTAGTATCCTAACAAAGTGATACAAAATATAATTTTGTTGGTAATTTGCTCTGCTCTTACAGTTACAGAATATTGAGGTCAGCACTCTGACTACCGTAAAAGTTAATTTAAATATGAAGCAAATATGAAGAAATAATTGCAACAAGTAATGTCTTTCTTGAGGATATGACTATCTTAGTATACTCGTTTTATGAACAGCAAAAAGTAGTAGTCTCATACGTAGACCACAAGAATACTGATGATCGATTTTTAGCTTTATAAATTATTCTCTTGATGCATCTTCACATAGCTGAAAATCAAGGAGCATCACTTAGAACTAGATTTATATCATACAGAGAAATCCAGCTGAAGAGAAAAAGGAAGGAGGTAAATTTATTAATAATCCCTGGCCTGCCTCCACTTGAAATTTTGTATAGTCTAAAATAGAAGAAGAAGGGAAGAAACCCTTCAGCTGGAGTTTTGAAAGCATAAAAAGATGTGTGATCTGAAACACTGAACAAGTAACTTCCTCCTTTGACTCCTGCCTTGTCTGTTTTTTATTGTTCAACATTAACCTATAATCTACAACCTGTAGACTTGTGTTATTTCAGGACTATTTTGACTTCTCTTGCATGCCTAGACAATTCAGCTTGCACATTTGTTGTCTTTAACGAAATTGTAGGTTATAATTTTTTTTAATGTATTTTCAAACACAGGGTGGAACCTTTAAACCTTTTAAAACCAGAAAGTTATTACTTAAAGCTGTTCTGTAGGTAATTCAACACTTGTATTGCATAAGAGAGAAATATAGTTGGTTTTGGGGTTGGTGTTTTTTTTTTTTTTGCCCTGGAGTTGGGGGGAAGGGTGATCCTGCTTTGATGCTAGTGATATTTTAAAGTAACTTTTAAGGTATCTTTTCTTTCTGCTTTTCAAACACATTTCCTATGTTGGCTGGTTTCTGTACTTATGTTTGTGTGCTAATCTGATGGGAATAATCAGTAGTTTTTGGACTGTGAAACATGATGTTACAATACTATTTCTGCTGAGGCATTCAAGCTGCCCCATGCAATGTTCATTATTTCATCTCCACACAAAGATAAAAATACTCTGTTAACTGTAGCCAGAATTGACAATTAGTGGTGTGTGAGTGAGGAGCGTTTATAAAAACTGTTGATACACAAATAAATGCTTTTTTCCAATGCCACTTGAATTTTTTTAAATTGTTTTCTGAATAATCTGAAAATGTAGAGGTTTTTTTGTCAAATAGATAGAAGTTGGATGTGTTCATTAGGATCTTCATAAATATGTCAACTAGCAGCTTTGTTCTCACAGGTTTTTCTTCTTGCAATAGGTCTGGCAGTAGTTCACGTGGGCAGTTCTGGAGCTTGCTTATAGTTTTGCTATCCTTCTGTGATCCTTTTTTTCAAAGTAGGTGAATACAGAAATACCAATATCCTCACACGGATATGGAACACTTGCTCTTGCAGCCTAACCTCTTCTTTCAACCTTAGCATTGGAGCAAAGCAAGCAAGGTTGAGGTAGCTCCATTACTGGGAGCAATCGAAAGAAGTCTTAGTGTATTTAAACTTAAGTATATTTAAATAAAATTGTATTTAAGTGAAATGGTTTACCCTGTGTGTGTCTGTAGAGAGAGTATATATACACACATGTATGTGTACACACACACAAACAAAGAAAAAAAAACAAAATAGGGAGACAATTAAATGAAGATTTTAGGATTCTGCAGTCTGATCTATTTTAGGGGGGAAAATGTGCAGAGGATGAAAGGGTATTGAGGGTTAATAATAACTTTTCTAACCCTCATAGGAAATGACAGATCCAGGTACCATAATTTTGATGTTTATATTTAATTACTTAAACCAGTAACATGTTGAGAAATTGCAGATAGTCTGCCTCCTCCCCGCTACCAGTAATCAAAGGCCCTAAAATTGGGTGATCACTTCAAAAAGATGCTTGATGGGGAGAGGAAGTCATAAAATAGATTAGATGAAAATTGACTTGATAACAGTAAACACTGTTTTGTCAATCTTTCATTTAATGGTTGAAATAAATATTTTGAAATGTTGTCTCTTGCGGATTTTCATTCACATAGTATTCATTCTTAGGGAGTACTTTATTTGGCAGCTTAGTTTTGTTTGAATTCAGTTTTTTGTCTCTTATTTAAAAGAGTAACGCTGTAAAACACTAGTCTGAGACAGAAATCCAAGACTTAGCTATAATTTTATGGTGCAGAAAACAAACATTTGACTTCAAAAAGCCTACGGTTTGATGTTTATTTCTAAAACATTTCCTAAGTTACGGAGTATGACAGGTCAGGGAAGCTGCAGTCTCTTGACTGCTCTGCATCAGTGTGTCTTGCAGCGGCAAAGCATGTTGTGGACTAAGTTCTTCTGTGAGAGGAGGCCTGATTTTGACAGATACTATCTGGTATATGTAAGAATGCAAATTGTTAATGTATGTACGTTCTGAGGACAGTATTTTTTGTGTGACAAGCATTTTGGTGTCTCAAGTTGTCCATATTCGTATGAATCTTTAGCTGCAGATGCTCTTGATGCAGTCAGAAGCAGAGAAAATGTAAGTACGTTGCAACTTGCCAGAAAATGAAGACAGAATGATGGTGAGACCTTTTAAGACAAGTACTTTAATGTAGTAATCAATTGCTATTCTTACTGCAGTTTTAAAGTTTATTTTTTCCAAAACACTTGAATGGAGTATAAATAGCCGTTCAAAGATGTGCTGAAGAATTGTTCAAATTTTAAAAAGCTTGTTAATATTGACCTTGAATAGAGACTTTATCTTAATTTTTATCCTGCTGAATTGTAGAAGAAATTTTAAAATGTTGGTTTGCAATTAACTAGCAAAGTAAAGGTATCCATTCTAATGAAATGTTGGGTAAAAAACCCCAACTGTTTAGGACTGGGAAGTATTTATGTAAAAGTCCTTTGCAGAAAATAAGAAATTTTATCCTGAAATTACTGCCTCAAATTTTAAGTAAAAACAGCTGTTTCTGTCAGCATTACATGACTTTTTTTGGTTAGTGGTTTTGTTGTTGTTGTTGTTTTAATTCCTGTCTGGTACACCTAAAACTATGAAGGTCAGTTTGTTGATGTATAGTTTCTGAGATGCTTGCTTTTTTTTTTTAAAGGCTCCTATTTCTAAAAGTCTGTAAACTATTTTGGATTTTAATAATGAAACTTGTCAGTAACAAGACAGAAAGCAGTATCTTTGAGACTCAGAAGTTTAGTAAAAAAAAGTAAGAGTTTAGAAATTCACCTGTGTTGTATTTCTGCAAGGTGGATACTGTCTGAGCAAGACTGGAATTAGAGGTTACTTGTTGAGACTAATACATGTAAGACTTTCCAGTAGGTATATTTCCTACTAATAATACCGAAATTACTCATGTTGCCTGTCCATTGGTCATAAATCCAAGCTTAATTACCTTTTAACTGACTAGTTTTCTGCTAAAGGTTGCATTGCTCAATAGAGTAAGGAGGTTTTCAGCTGTGTTATTGCAGTTCCTATATAATATAGTTCATTCACCGAACACTTCTAGTATTACATGTGAAATTCCACCCCAAGATGGTGCTAGAGTTTCAGTTAAAGCAATCGGTGTATCTTTATTCCGCTGAACTGTATGAGGACATTTTAAGAATGAGGAGAGGAGACTACTTCATATGTACCTTTCTGCACTGATGAAACCGGATCTCCCGGACTCTTTCCTTCTCTGACTATAGGTGGCTACTTCATGTAAGCTGGTCCACAGCACATGCTGAGACATTGCTAGCGACTAATGCTCTCAAGGCATGTCCTAATGGGGTTCAGGCAATGTGGTCCATTTCTGAACTAA